GTGGGCCCCCTACTTGGCGCGGCCGATGTCTGCCGCCCCTTCCTGGCTGTCGGGTCGGGACTGAGTTGGGCAGGCATCCCGCGCGGGGCGCTGGACGAGCGGCCCGCGGCGCCCAGGGCACGTGGCCGCGCGCCACTGATGCGCGAGCCAGATGCGGCAGACGGGGTCGCGAAATTCCACTTGTTTTCCCAGCCTGGTGGCACCGAGGGAAGACGCGCAAGTGGCGGACCCATGTCGCTGTTAGCGGCCAAAACCTCGCTGGCTCAGCAGAAGCAAGAAAGGGGCACCCTCGCGGCGCCTGCCTCGGCGACGACACCGACGAGGAACTCCAGCATAGCATTGGCTGCCACGGCGGAGGGGGAGCGCTTATCTGATGGCCCCGCGCGCGCTTGGTCACCCGTCAGAGTGGAGCCTGTCGTCGCGCCCTGACCAGGGCCAACGTCGGCGGGCACCTTCCGTGAAAGACCAGACGCCACTGGGTGGCCCGCCTATGGAGTAGCTGCCGCCGGAGGGCTCCTGCCCATCGTTGGGGCTATCGCGGTTGGCCCGAAGCCATGTGTAATCTCCAGAGCAATCCCTATATTATGGCCCCTACAAGTCGCCCGGTGGTGTCTGCGGCGCCAGCGCGCCAGCGGCGCCCCCGCTACCTGCCGGGGGAAGGGGGGGGGCGGGGGGGGCGCGCCCGCGTTCGGCGGGGTCCCTGGCGGGGGCGGCGGCGGACGCGCGGCGCGCGAGGGCGGTGGGGTCCTGCCGCTGCGTTTCGCGGCGAAGGGCGGTTGCGTTGTTGCTGCTGCGACGCCCTGTCGTCTGCCTCGGCATTCTGCGCCGTCTTGCATGCAGCACGTGGAAGCGCGCGATCGAGCAAGTGCTGTCGACGCAGGTGGGCCGCCCCCTGCCTCGTGCAGCTCCGAAAATGTCGGGGGCCGCGAGGCGCGCAGGTCTGGGGGAAGCCGCCCCCCTCGTCGGGGCCCTCAGTCGGGCCGCCCACAAGGATGTTAGCGACGTCGGGGTCCTGGGCGGGTTCGTCGCCGTCGCCGTCGCGGCAGGGCCGGTGCCCCTCGGCCGATTGGCGCGCGGAACGGACGCTGCCATCGCCGAGCGGCCGATCAGGGCCGGCGTCCATGGGCGCCCTCATCGCAGTGCCCCTGCCAAATGCCATCGGTGAGCTAGGTGCCTGTGGCCCTGGGGAAATGCAATGGTTTCTGGTCGTTAGCGCGGAGTCTGCCTGCCTCGCTTCAGATGCTGCTGGATGTCCCACGTTGGACTCAGGGTGCCGTTGATGTGGGCGCGTTCGACTGGCGCGCGTGGACTACCATCGTGCTCCACGGATTCTGATGGATGAATGCCTCGAGGAGCGTTTGCTGGGGCGGCGCGTTGACCCAGGATCCGAGGGCCCGGATGCGGCCGCAAGGGCAGCGCGGCGCTCCTCGTCGCCGACGCCGGCGAAAGACCCGGCCGCGCAACTTCCCCTCTGCGCTCCAAAAGCGCGGCATCGCTGGGGAACTGCTTTTTGGCGGGGAATGGCGCCCCCTATCCCTGGGCCACTCGGGAACGCGCTGAAGACGAGGGCCCTGGCGAGCGCAACAACTTCAGAGGGGCAATATCGCTGGAGACAGCCGACCCGGAGCCGGCGGGCGCAGGCGCGCGGCGGGCGTGGCTGGCGCTGCAAGGACACGCGCCGCGGATGCCGATCGTCGCCGACCCCTGGCCGACGATGGCAACGACCGAACAGGAGCGCACGGCGAAACCCTAGCTCTAGCCACCCCGACGCCCCTGCCCTTGCAGGAGCCAACTTGCACTCAAACTCACCCGGCGCGAGTTACCTCGAGGGGGTCCCATCGAGGCCCCTTCAATGCGGCCCTGGCGTCGGCGCTGGCATGGGGCGCACAATGCCGAGGACCTCGGGTGCCCTCTCGCCTCCGCCTGCCGCCTGGGTTTCGGGGCCGCCAACGGGGCTGCCCTCGCCGGCTAATCCTGCGGGGCCCGGGGCATGGTTGGGCGGCCTCGGCGCAGCCCCGGTCGGTTGGGCTCGTGCCAGCGACGCGAGCAGTGTCATTGGTTCCATAACGGCCCTCAGGTTTGCGTTCAGGCTGGCTTGTGCAGGTTGGGCCGCGCGGGTTTCTTGCTCGAGCTGGCGGGGCTGCTGGGCGGGGTGGCCAGGCTGCTGGCAGCGCTGGCGACAGCTGTCTCGAGCCGTTTGCCAATGTCGGTTAGTTCCTGCTGACGGCCCCCAGGCCCCCGAACCTCGCGCCCGCTTGGTCGGAGATGCCTCGATCGCATGTTCCCCCCTTTGCGGCCGCTCTTCGTTGGAGAGGTCCACGCGCCCAATCTCCTCCAGCTGTTCGGTCGCGGGCAGGGGCGCGGCTCTGGCGCATTCGATTTCGGCGGCTTCCCTCCCACGTCGCAATCGTCTACGTCTTAAGCGAGGCAGCTTGGGCCGGGGCTGACGTTGGGCTCCTCGGCGGCGCCTCCGGCTCGATGGCGCGACCGCTGCGCGCTGGCGCTGGCCGGATTTCCCGGCGGCGGGGAGCTCGGATGCAGCCTCGTTCTTGGGGCCAGCTGTGGTTTCAGCGGCGCTTAAAGCCGCGGCCCGGAGGCCGCGCGGCCCCGTGGAAATCGGGGCGGGTTCGCGCCTGCTTCCCCAGTGGGTGGCCCCGCAACAGGCTTCTCCGTCGCGATGGTCTCTGGCGAGACGGCGGTTGCCGCCGGCCCGTCGGGGTGGCGGCTTTCGCAGGATTGCGCGCCTCAGTTTTGACGATGGAGCTGGGAGCGCTGGTACCTTGGGCGTGGGCCGCTGCGTTCGATGGGGGACTGGCCGATTTGTCTCTGGCGAAATCGCCCCTGGGCATTTTGCCCAACCCTGCGCGATGGAGTTCGCAACGCCACATTATGGATGAGAGGACCTGAGCACCTTGCAGATTGGTGGCGTTCTGCGGCCCGGCCCCTGTGATGCGTTACTTTGTGTTAGCAAAAGCGGGGCCAATTCCTCGCGATGGCGCCTTGCTTCGCTTCCTGGGTGTCGGAATTGACTCTGATGATTATGATGCCCGCCCTTTCTCCGCTCGGACTGCACCGTGCATTTCGTGCCTCGTTCATGTGTTGCGCGCCAGTTGTAGCATGGTCTGGTGGCCACCTCGGTGCCGCGCAATGATGTAGTCGCTGGGACGGGGCCCTTTAGTGTCATGGTCGCCGACGTCATACTGGACGCCTCCTTGCCCAGAAGTAAAGAAAACCAGGGGTGCGTCGGTTGGCTCAATGCCGAAAGTGGCAGTGATTCTGCGTTTTCCGACTGCCGTGCCCTGGCGCCCTAGGAGATCGATGGCTTCTCGTATACGCAAAATGTGGAAGCGGGAGAAGAACGCGAATCGGTGGTCTGTTTGTCTGGCTCATGGCGTTCCTTCGCCTTTTGTTGCGCAGTGCCTGGTCCGCCCGCGAACAATTTCTTGAGCACGGGCGCGGGCGCAATGGCGTCAGCCTCGTGGATGGAGGCGCAAATGCAGGCTACGTTGTCAACTGGGTCGGGGGAGACTTGGGCGAAGCGATGTAAACACAGTGTCTCATCCCGTCCTGGCGTAATCCTGATAGCCTTGGCCGTACGACGGAAGACTGGGATGAGGATCCCACGCCCTGGGTAGTCGGTACTGATCGGTCGCAGAACTGCGAAAGCTAAAGGTTTGGACGCCCCGCCGTCCTCTTTTTCATATGGCGTGTCTTTGTTATCTCTCTCTCTCTCTCTTGCTCTCGCTCTCTCGGGCGCCAATGGTCGTCACAAGGACGTCTCAGACCTGTGCGTCCAAGCTGATGGGAAGGGCCTTGTCGCTACCCTGGTGGGGGTCGGGGTCGACCGTGGTCCCTGGTGGTCACTGTATGGGGCCTGTCGTGTGCATGAGGGAGCAGTTCAGCACGACGAGGCTGATATTGCTCCCCCGCACGATCTCATGAACTCGACCCCCTGCCTGGTGGTTTGGGTTGCCGTGGTGCAAGGGGCGCACGGCGGGGGCCTTTCGGAACCGTGGCGCACGCGCGCGGGACTGAAGGGATGCGACGCCAATATGTAACGTCCTGGGGGGGGGCCGTGCCCGCTCTCGCGAGGCAAGAATGGATGCGGAGCGCTTGGCATCTGGAGTCGCTCTAAGCAGAGCTCTCGAACCGTGACTGGAGAGGGAAAGGCAGAGAGAGAGAGAGAGGGAGGGAAATAGAAATAGAGAGAGAGAGACAGAAACACAAAAAACGTGCACACTCAGATAAAGGTGGAGACGGGGGAAAGAGAGAGAAAGAGAGAGAGAGAAAGGGAGAGAAGCTGAGGATGAGGATGAGTTGGACTGGACCCCCTACTCTTCTCAACCACTCTCCTGCCATGTGCTTATCGGTGCGTTTTGAAACACGAAACATTCGTCAGGCCGAAGGTGGATCGAATCGGGAAGTCGGATCGGATCGGACACTGATCAGATCGCGCCAAAGTCAGCGCAGAATCGGATCTTCTTGGATCGCGGATCAGACTCCGCCCTGCAGACCGACATCGGAATCGAAATTTGATGGGGCCGATCAGACCGACATCGGAATCGAAATTTGAGGGTCGGATCGGATCCGATATGACTGTGAGCAACTGTGCTTGTCCCCGAGCAATTTGAAGGATCACCGTGCCAATCACGGACCACGCCTGCTGATGATTTCGACGCTCCGTTGGCATGGCGCCGTAACTTGCGAAACGAGGACAACAAATACTGCACATACCGGCCAACGGCCCAGCCCACCCAAACAATACAATTGTTTTGCTTTGTGTGTGTGGTGATCCTCCGCTTGTGTGTATCGTGCCCCCCCCCCAGAAATAGAAGGAGAGAATCAGGGAGGGGAGGGAGAACCGAACGAGGCGGGGGACGAGGCAGGAGGACGCGATGCAAGAGGACGAGGAGGCTGGAGCTGGGAGGGAAGAGGGAAGAAAGAGAAGACGTGAGGACGAAGATGGCCCATAATTCCGTCCAGCCACAAAAACAGAGGGC